GCCGCAGTTGACATTGACATATGTTGTACCCTCAGTGCCTTATTCAGCTGTACAAACATTGGAAGGCTCATGCCATATGCAATTTTATATTTAATTCCAAACCCACCAAAAAAGTGGGAGCTGCATTTGGAACAGGAGAGGGCCATTCAGCCCCTTGATCCTGGTCTGCCATTTACAGGATTATATGGATAACTGAAGACTTTGAAATACTTTTACCCAAACTATCCCCACAACCCTGTATGCCACTGGCAAATCAGAAAGCTATCACTGTCAACCTTAAACAGACTCAAACGCTGAACTTCCACAGCCCACTGTTGTAGAGAATTCCAAATATTCACAACACTCTGACTAAAACATTTTCTCCTCATCTCACTCCCAAATGGTTTCAAAGGCCTTGGCTTTAAATGTGTCCCCAGTTCCACACTCTCCACAACCAGGAAAAGTATCTCACCTGCATCCAGTGTCTATCCCTTTAATTTGTTTGCAGGTTTCATAAGAAATTGGAACAGGAGTAGGCTATTTGGCCCATTGAGACTGCTCTGCCATTCAATAGGATCATGGCTGATCCAACACTCCTCACATCCGCTTTCCTACCCTTTCCCATGACTGTTCATTCTCCAATCAAGAATCTATCTACAGATCATCTCTCATGCTTTGAAGTTATAGAGAATACAGACCCAGTTTGCCCAGTCTCTGTTCCTGGGATGGCAAGACTTTCACATGAACAAGTCTGGTGACACTTCTTTGCCCTCTCTCTATGGGAATGAGGTCCTTTGTGAGCTAAGGAGACCAAAACTGTACACAGTTCTCCATATTTGGGCAGCACATGCATAACGTGCCACAACTGATAATGCAGTTCCAGGTAGAAGTAGTCACCATAGTCCCTGAGGATAGGGCAGATCTCTTATTAGAGAGAGACAACTGGTGGGAAGTTTATCCCGAGGGTCACCATGCCTCGGGCGAATGGCGAGGTTGAGGAAGTGAGATCTTCATGGTGGACCTGTTGAAGAGTTGTTATTCAGAAGTATCTCTGTTGAGCAAAAGAGCTAGGGCACAGGGCAGTACCACCAGGAAGAGCTGGGAAGAGGGAAGGATTTTAAGCTTAGGGGCAACCTTTTGAGGACAGAAATTAAGAGAATTTTTTTTTCTCTGAAAGAGTTGTAAGCGTGTATCACCTCTTTGACAGCAAGACTAGGAATAGCTGACAAATGCCAGCCATGCTCACATGTTGACAATGAACTTGTTTTTAACAAAAGGATTGCCAACCTTACTAAATTATATTTCACAGCTCGCCATGCTGGGATCTAGTCTCATCATTTCAAGGAAACTAGTGCAAGATCCACTACTGAAATTAACACCTTTCACCACATGCATTGTACAGACCAGGCAACAAAAATGATTAAGACCATAACTCATAGGAGCAAAAGTAGACCATTCAATCCATTACCTCCACTCTCCCATTCGATAAGCTCATGGAGGACTATGGCGAATTTACCTTTACTTACTTAATTACTCCACCTACCTGCCTTTGCCCCATAACTTACTGATTAAAAGAAAAGAAGCATGGTAAAATAAAGTGAACAGATGTTTTTAATACTTTACTCTTTCACGGAACGTGGATGTCACGGGCAAGCCCAGTATTTGTTGCCCATCCCTAACAGCCCTTGAATAGAGTGGTTTTCTATGTCACTTTCAGAGGGCAACTAGGAGAGAACTGATTGGCCCTGACAAGGTGGATGTGGAAAGGATTTTGCTCTCGCGGAGAATGAGGGGACACAGTTTTAAAATTAGGGGTCATCCTTTGAGGACAGAAACAGGGAGATTTTTTTTTCCCTTAGGAAGTTGTGCAACATTGGAACTCAAACTGAAGACATGGTGGGAATGGGATCATCGAACATCCTTAAGACTGGGATAGATTGATTTCATGCCTGACAAGAATCAAAGGTTAACAGTGGGATTAGATGGGAATGTAGGATGCAAAACATTGACAGATCAGCCATGGTTTTACGCAGCGGCAGAGCTAGCTTGAGGGGCCAAATGGCCTACTTCTATCCCTAGTTCATATGCACGTACATTGCAGTGGTCTGGGTTCGCACATAGGCCAGACCAAGCAAGAATGGCAGATTTCCTTTCCTAATTTTATTCAAGACTGGAGATAGACAGGTATTTGATTAGTAAGGGAATCAAGGGTTATAGGGAAAAGGCAGGAAAGTGAGGTTTATAGATCAGCCATGATCTCATATTGAATGGTGCAGCAGGTTCAATGGGCTGAGTGGCCTACTTTTGCTCCTACATCTTATGAGCAGTGAACCAGATTGATTTTTATAAAAATCAACGATATCACTGCGGTCACTATCACTGAGACTAGCTTTGTCGCGACAAACGACAACACCTTCCAGTCGCAAACCACTTCAACTCCCCCTCCCACTCCCTGGACGACATATACATCCTGGGCCTCTTCCAGTGTCACAACAACGCCATCCAGAAACTGGAGGAGCAGCACTTCATTTGCGCCTCAGGAGCCTGCAACCCAATGGCCTCAATATGGACTTTACTAGCTTCAAAATCTCCCCACCCCCGGCCTTATCCCAAGACCAACCCTCCCTCTCATACCCGCCTCCTTGACCTGTCCCGTCTTCTCTCCCACCTCACTGACCAATCCCCACCACTACCTACCTGCTATCATCATCCCACCTACCTTTTCCAGCCCAACTCCCCTCTCTCCCTATTTATTTCAGAGCCCCCTTCCCCTCCCCCATTTCTGAAGAAGGGTCCCGATCCGAAACATCAGCCTTCCTGCTCCTCTGATACTGCCTGGCCTGTTGTGTTCCTCCAGCTCCACACCTTGTTATTTCTGACTCCAGCATCGGCAGTTCTTACTATCTCTCTATACTCCAGTTTTATTAATCAAGTGCAAATTCCATTAGCCGCTGTCATGTGATCTGAAGCCACGTCTCCAGAGCTTTACACAAAAACCAAAGAACTGCAGATGCTGGAGATCAGAAACAAAAACAAATTTCTGAAGAAACTAAGCAGGTCTGGCAGCATCTGTGAAGACAAAGAAGAGATAATGTTTCCAGTGACCCTTCATGTTGTGATTGGACCCAAAAGATTAACACTTTCTCTCTCTACAGATGATCATAGAATCCCTACAGTATGGAGGCAGGCCATTCAGCCCATACCACCCCTCTGAACAGCATCCCACCCAGACCCATCCCATCCCTGTATGCCTACATTTCTCATGTCTGATCCACTTAGCCTGCACATCCCTAGACACTAGAGGCTATTTAGCAATGGCCAATACACCTAATGTGCACATCTTTGGACTATGGGAGAAAACCGGAGCACCTGGAGCAAATCCACACAGACACGGGGAGAATGTGCAAACTTCCACACAGACAGTTGCCTGAGGCTGGTATCAAACCCAGGTCCCTGGCGCTGTGAGGCAGCAGTGCTAACCACTGAGCCACTGTGCAACCCCAAATGCTGCCTGAGCTGCTGAGTTTTCCCAGCAACTTCAATTTCAGTTTCAGCTTCTAGTCTAGAGACGTTGCCACTACTTACCTGCTATCATCATCCCACCTACCTTTTCCAGCCCAACTACCCCCCTCTCTATTTATTTCAGAGCCCCCTTCCCCTCCCCCATTTCTGAAGAAGGGTTCCGACCCAAAACATCAGCTTTCCTGCTCCTCTGATACTGCCTGGCCTACTGTGTTCATCCAGCTCCACACAGAGGTAGACGTTAATGATAAATTAGACTGCGCAATTACACAGGCCATCATTAAAGTGAGTACAATTACTGTAATTTGGTCATATTATAGCTAGAAAGGCATTTCAGTTATCTCACAAACTTAGTTAAATGTTGCACAACAATTAAAGACATTGATAACATTAAAACCTGTCTAAAATCCAACAGGAGCCCGGTGAAAAGCTGTTAATGAAATGGATACAAGTTGAGCAAACAGAGCTGGGGCATGGGGGAATATCACCAGTGAGGGCCGTAAAGAGAGAACAGCTTTAAAATTTAGGGACCTCCTTTTCAGGATAGAGATTAAGCGATTTATTCCCCTTATAGGGTTGTGTGAATTTGGAATTCTGCCTCAAAGCGGTGGAGGTGGTGTCATTGAATATTTTCAGACCGAGCTGGATAGATTCTTAAATAGAACAAATAACTGCGGATGCTGAAGAGCTGAAACAGACACGGAGAATGCTGGAGAAACTCAGGTCTGTGGAGAGAGAGACAGACAGACAGACAGACAGACAGACAGACAGACAGTTAACATTTTGAGTCCAGTGACCCTTCTTCAGAAGTATTTTTAACTCTGATTTCTCTCTCCACTTGGTTCAAGTCTCCCTCTGGGGCTTATGTACAAAAAAAACGAAATAACAAGGACAGGTTGCTCAGTTGCCAGTGAGGTAGACTATCGATGTCAAGGCAAGCAGTCTTTTGGTGATGACTCACTTGGTCAAGGGGACAGGGGTGGTGTTTGGAATCGCTGAGAATGGCACAGGAGGTCTCTCAGGTATTAACGTGTCTCCAAGGTGACATCCTTGTCCGTTGTATTTTGCAACAAGAGAATCATCTCTGGCAGGCATCAGTAAACCTCAAAATGCCAGGAATGACTGGCAAGTCGGTTGGGCCCAGTACTACAACAGCAGCATCAATAACTTGTGGGTTTTTTTTTTTAAAAAGAACCTCTAATATTGTAAAGGGACCGAAGGCCCTGCGAGAGAATATGGGCAGATGGGTATTCCAGAGGCAACTGGAGGCACAGTCAGCAAAGAAGCAATGTATATCAGGGACACACTAGACCAGAGATGGAGAAGCACCTTCTCAGAAAGTTATTGGACCTGAGGAGATGGGGGTGGGATGGTTTTCTGAGAGGCCATGAAAGGATTTTAAACAATTTTTTCCTGCAGCGACAAAATGGTTTTTCCCAGTCTACAGCGTGAACTCGGAACCCAACACCGTGCCAGATTTAAAGAGGCTTGTGGCCTACCTTGAGGAATAATCAGACTTTGGTTCATCATCTCCAACCTCAGGCGTTCTTTTGAGCAGGTTGTCCTCGGTGTACAGCTGGGACCTGGTGAGAATGTTCTCGGATTTACTGTAGCCCACCATTGGATTGACTCCCAGCTTCTTGTCTGCTCTGGTGGCCTTACACCTGGGGCTGTCTGGCCAATCAGAGTCCTTGGTCGAGTTCACGCAACACTCACCATCAGCATTCGACCACGGCAAAAACTCCTCCTCAATCAGCCGGGCGTTCTCTTTAATCTGGTCCTGGATTTTGGAGGTCAGGCTTGGAAAGTCAAAGGTGAAATAATTCCCATGGTTCTTGTTGGGAGAAGGCAGGGTTTCCACAGAGTCTAGGCTGGTATAAGAGGTGCCCTTGGCACAGTGGGACTCCAGGATTGATTCGAATTGTTTGCTGAAGGTGTCAGTGCCTTCTTCAGAGAGGCTTCGTGCAAAACGAATTGAAGCAACTGGTGGAGGCAGATTCTTCACCTCTACCTCTGGTGACCTGCAGGTGGAGAAGCTGGGTAGAATAAAATAGTACAGGACATTACTGAGACCATACCTAGAGTGTTGGGAATGGTTTCTTCAACCAGAGAGAGTTATTTGCATTGAAGGCAGTTCTGTGAAGATTTGCTCGGCTGATTCCTGGGTGAAGAGGTTTATCTTAAGAATGTAAGAACTAGGAGGAGGAGTAGACCATTCAGCCCATCAAATCTGTTCCGTGATTCAATACAATCATAGTTGATCTCATCTCAGCCTCAACTCCACTTTTCCTGCCTGCTCTCCATAACTTTCAACTCATTATTTACCTCCACCTTAAATTTATGGAGTGTCCTACCATTGACTGCACTCTGAGAAACACAGTTTCTCCTCATCTCTGTTTTGAATCTGCTTCCCTATATCCTAAAGCTATGACCTCTTGTTATAGATTTCCCCACAGAGGGAGCATCCTCTCGACTTCTACTTTGTCAATCCCCTGTAGCATCTTATAGATCCGCGTTAAATCACCTCTCATTTATCTAAACTCGAACAGAGAATATAGGCCTAAACTGCTCAACTCTCCTCAGAAGACAAGCTTTGCATCTCTGGAATTAATCTAGAGAATCTATAAGACAGGGCAGAGTAGTTTGGGCCTGCATTTAGAGTCATAGAGATGTACAGCACAGAAACAGACCCTTCGGTCCAACTCGTCCCTGCCAACCAGATATCCTAAATTAATCTAGTCCCATTTGCCAACATTTGGCCCATACCCCTGTAAACCCTTCCTATTCATATACCCATTCAGATGCCTTTTAAATGCTGTAACTGTACCAGCTTCCAACACCAGCTCATTCCATACACGCACCACCCTCTGCATGAAAAAGTTGCCCCTTAGGTCCCTTTTAAATCTTTCCCCTCTCTTCCTAAACCTACGCCCTCTAGTTTGGGACTCTCCCAACCCAGGGAAAAGACCTTGTCTATTTACCCTATCCATGTCCCTCATGATTTTATAAACCTCTATAAGATCACCCCTCAGCCTCCGACACTCCAGGGAAAATAGCCCCAGCCTTTTCAGCATCTCCCTATAACTCAAACCCTCCAACCCTGGCAACTTCCTTGTAGATCTTTTCTGAACCCTTTCAAGTTTTACAACACCCTTCCTATAGCAGGGAGACCAGAATTGCACGCAGTATTCCAAAAGTGGCCTAACCAACGTCAGCCTCAAGACCTCCCAACCCCTTACTCAATGCACTGACCAATAAAGTCAAGAATACCAAATGCCTTCTTCACTATCCTACTTATTTGCAACTCCACTTTCAAGGAACTGTGAACCTGCACCCCAAGGTGTCTCTGTTCAGCAACACTCCCAGCACCTTACCATTAAGTGTACAAGTCCTGCCCTGATTTGCCTTTCCAAAAAGAAGCACCTCACATTTATCTAAATTAAACTCCATCTGCCACTCCTCGGCCCGTTGGCCCATGTGGTCAAGATCCCATTGTACTGTGAGATAACTTTCTTCACTGTCCACTACACTGTCAATTTTGGTGTCATCTGCAAACTTATTAACCATACCTCCTATGTTCACATCCAAAACATTTAAAACAAATGAAGAAAACCAGTGGACCCAGCACCGATCCTTGTGGTACACTGCTGGTCAGAGGCCTCCAGTCCGAGAAACAACCCTCTACCATCACCCTCTGTCTCCTACTTTCAAGCCAAATAGCTAGCTGTCCCTGTATTCCATATGATCTAACCTTGCTAACCAATATACCATGAGGACCCTTGTCGAATGCCTTATTGAAATCCATATAGATCATGCTCACCACTCTGCCCTCATTAATCTTCTTTGTTACTTCTTCAAAAAACTAAATTAAGTCAGTGAGACACGATTTCTCACACACAAATCCATTTCGACTATCCCTAATCAGTCCTTGCCTTTCCAAATACCTGTAAATTGTGTCCCTCAGGATTCCCTCCAACAAGTCGCCCACCACGGAAGTCAGGCTCACCAGTCTATAGTTCCCTGGCTTTTCCTTACCACCATTCTCAAATAGTGGAGTTTGGAAGAACGTGCATTGACTGTAATAGGAACATTTTAGGATTCTGAAGGAACCGGACACGATAGACGCTGGGAGGATTTTTTTCCCTGATGGAAGAATCTAGAACAGAGGCGGGGTTTCAAAATAAAGTCTCTTCCATTGAAGACAAAGATAAGAAATAAGAAGCAGAAGCAGCAGTGGATCATTCAGTGTCTTAAGCAGCGTTCCCTCAAAGCAGCGTGCACTCTAAAGCTGTAGGCGCTCAGCATTCTGCATATGGGAGTCACTTTCTTATTAAATTTCAAAAATGCACTTTATTCATAAAAGCATATTTATATAGTGTATATACATAGACACAAATGCAGTTCAGTTCTGTACAGTAGCATATCAAGGAAACAAACAAACACTGAAGTTCGACTCTATACAAAGCAAAGGCATCTCTTACTTGAGCCAGGCTATATTTATATGCATTTGAGGCACCAGGAGGATCCAGTAACTGAGCAGACCCCCATTTAACTTCAGCAGGATGACCTCAGAGGGTGGTCTTTCCCCACTGCACCTTCACGGCAGCTGCCCCAAGCTTTAGTGCGTCCCCCAGCACGTAGTCCTGGATCTTGGAATGTGCCAGTCTGCAACGCTCGGTTGGCGTTACTCCTTTCTCTGGAAGACCAACAGGTTTCGGGGCACACAGGGACCTTAGAGGTCTGTGTAGAAGGAAAGAAAATTAAAGGGAACACTGCTCTCAAGCCTGCCCCACCATTCTATAAAGGTCATGGTGATCTGCCCCAGGCCTCAATCTTTCTTTCATGGCAGCTCCTTATAGCCCTCAACTCCCAGTTATTCCAAAAATCCACCCACCTTCTCTTTCAATGATCTAGCCCCCCACAGCTTCTGGGTAGAGAATTCCAGACATATCCCCTAGCAGTTGAAATTCTTTTGTATCTCAGTTTTAAACGAGTGGCCCTTTATTCCGTAACTGTGTTCCCTCACTCGAGGTTCCCCAACTAATGGGAAATGTCTTCCCAACGTCTAGAGATAAGAAAGTTTATTTTTTCCCCTTTCCAACGGTTAGTAATCTTTGGAACTCCCCATCCCAGCTAGCAGTCAAGGCTGAGTTAGCTAGATTTTTGATCTACTAAAAAGAGTGAAGGATTATGGGACAGGCAACAAAATGGCGGTTAAGACCAGCACCTGATCAGCCTTGATCTTACTGAATGTCCGAAAAGAATTGATGGTCCAAATGACCAACTCCTGCCTCTAATGTTCTGATACAGCACTGCAGGAGGCTAGTTAGCCCGCTGTTTCTGTTCCAGTCATTCAAAACAGCCATCAAATCAGCCCCACTTCCCATGAAATTTCTCCACATTTGTTTTTTTTTCCCGCCCCCATCCAAACACCTTTTGATAAAGTTAGCATCTTCGATAGCTCAGCTGGTAGAGTGGAGGACTGTCATGGACTAGTTACTAATCATCCTTAGGTGGCTGGTTCGATTCCAGCTCGAAGGACGTGTCTTTGGGGCTCAGTGGCTAGCAATGCTGCCTCACAGCGCCAGGGACCCGGGTTCAATTCCATGCTCGGGCGACTGTCTGTGTGGAGTTTGCGCGTTCTCCCCGAGTCTGTGTGGGTTTCCTCCAGGTGCTCCGGTTTCCTCCCACAGCCCAAAGATGTGCAGGTTAGGTGGATTGGCCGTGCTAAATTGCCCATAATGTTCAGGGATGTGTAGATTAGGTGGGTTATGCGGGGATGGGTCTGGGTGGGATGCTCCGAGGGTCGGTGTGGACTTGTTGGGTTGAAGGGCCTGTGTTTCCACACTGTATCTTCAATCTGCTGACACCATCCTTTCAGGTAATGCATCCCATCGCAGCTCAGTGGTGAAAAAAAAAATTCTCCTCATCTTCCTTCTGAATCTTCTGCCAATCGCCTCGAACTATTGCCCCTTTTTGTTACTGACCCACTTCCTGTCTGTGAGAATTCTATCAAAATCCTTCACAATTTTGGAAACCTCACAGCGACATCTTCAACAATTCTCAGTAATCAAACTGAATTAACTTTATTGTCACATGTATTCAAACAAGTGTTGTAAGAAGTTTACAGTCGCTACATTACAGCGCCAACTTAGGTCTAAAAGGTACCTAGGTACAGATACTTGAGATCAAATTCTTAGGAAACCAAAAAAAATTAGAGAAGTACTATAAAGAAAAAAAATGCAACAAAGAAAGAACAAGAAAGGTTTTCAGCTATTGAATAGTTGCCATTAATGTTAGACATGTAAGCAACATCACTCACCAAAAAAATTACTGGAATCACAGTCCAGCTTGTGTGCAGCTGAGCTGTGCAATGATGCAGCAGGATAAGTAGGTGTAACACAAAGGAACATCAGCAGAGGGAGTGCTAAGTCCAGTTAAAGAGCTGATAAAAGGCACTGAATGCTGAAAATCTGAAATGGAAGTAGAAAATGCTGGAAAACATTTGAAGGAAGATATCTGAAGCTTCTATGGAGAGAGGAAAGGATGAAACAGTGAAAGGAGAGAGGTATGTAAAGACGGAGAGATGCACCTTCCAAACCCATAACCATTTCCATCTGGAAGGACAAGGGCACCAGATATATGGGAACACCACCACCTGCAAGTTCCCCTCCAAGCTGCTCACCATCCTGACTTGGAAATATTTCGCTGTTCCTTCACTGTCGCTGGGTCAAAATCCTGGAACTCCCTCCCTTACGGCATTGTGGGTCTACCCACAGGTTCAAGAAGCCACCACCTTCTCAAGGGCAGCTTGGGTCAAGCAATAAATGCTGACCAACCCAGTAATGCCCTTGTCCCAACGGTGAATATAACCTCTTTTTGAAAAAAAAAGGAGAGCAGGTGAGACGCGGGGAATAGAGTACTGGACTAAAACAGTAAGAAATCCATCTCTGGGCGTTATAAACAAGAGAGATCAAGGATGATTCTAAAACATTTTCAATGTGCAAGATTATGTTCACGG